AATTTTCCTATTCGAATGCTTCTGGTCCAATAGAAAGAAAGGACTATTGTAGAGGGGGATTGATGTAATTTGACAAAAGTAGTTGTTGACCTCCTCTTTGAAGAGAGGATGCTCAATGACTACTAATTAATACCAGTCTATTATTATTATTTGAAAAGTGATTCATTAGACAGGTTGTGATGGTCCTGCATGTGATTGAATGTCTGAAAGACTTTATATAAAACTTGTTTAAAAAAAATGCTAGAATAATTGTTTTTTTATGTGATGATAAAGTGTTTAGATTTTGGCAACAGATTGCATAAACCAGTGTTTTTCAACCTTCTTGAATATGCAACCGCTTTGCAAGTTAAAAACTTCTGGTGACCCCCAGGACCATATTAAAACTATATCAGTGATTTTAAAAACTGCGTATTTAATTTTCTTTCTGTTGAGATCTAAATATCGATTGAAAAACCAATTATACTATAAAATAAACAGCTATAGCCTTCTCACTGAAATTGTAGTTTTTTTTTCCAGTGTAGTGTAGGACCTACAAACACTTGTCTTTTTCTTTTACCCACGACCCCCCGTGTAAGGCTTTGTGATCCCCCTGGGGTCGCGACCCACAGGTTGAAAAGCACTGGTATAAACTACATGGGAAATATGTTTTTGTAAATATTGCATTTATAGAAAAATTATTGGGCTGCAATTTGAAAAAATTGTAGACCTATAAATTCCAATTGTCGTCCTTCTGTCCTTACTTAATCTCAAGAAAGGAGTTAGATAGATGAAAGTTGAGATCAGATGTGGAAAGCTTAGGGTCAGGAGGCCCAGATTATCTATATACGAACTTCCAGTTTGAAATGGAAATTACATTACTTCCATTCAAAGTTTTCCCCTGAATGGAGTTAGATATATGACTGATAGGATGCTATTGCTAACAGGAAAAGTATGTACAGGGGCAAGACCACCACTAAAAGAATTGAGAACACTGTGACAAAAAGTTGCAGTCCAGCATTATCACAATAAATAATTGCTTGTTAGAATTATTTTTGTTTATTTGCTTATGGCAGTGTGACACATGAGTGACCTGTTGAAGGGATGCATTCCAGGAAGACTTTTATGGGAAGCTGGATCCTATTTAGGTTTTACTAATGTGAAGAAAATCCACATGGTCAGCCCTTTGGCCATGCCCAAACTATTTTAGCTCTACTTTTGCCACAGTATACAGTAAAATATAAAAACTTTGTTTTTTCTTTTGTAAATCAGATTTAAAGATTTAAAATAAAATCTGTTTGATTCAATTGAGTATTTTTTTTTTTTCAACTATAACAATATTAATTATGTAGTAGGTAATCAACAAAATAGAGGTTGCATTTTTAAAACATATGTCAAGGGTAGCTCTGTTTTTGGCCACTACTGTAAATTAGCAAATTGAATGTAGATAGAAATTCAATAGATATTTTGGGGTGGGATGCATGACATTATCTAAGTTAAAGTATGTGAATATAACTGCTGAGTTTTGTAGCAATTAGTTGAACGTCCTAGGAGTGTATAGCAAACAAACATCCTCATTTATATATATAGATATAATCAAGTTATCTTTTAATGATGATGATTAACTACAAACTGACAGTTTTCGAAAGAATTTTGATTGGTCAAGTGACATTAAATACATATTTATGATTATTTTACATAAAATAAGTAATTATATCATAAAAAAGAATTTTATTCTAGAAACATAATGTGTTTTTAGAATGTAAATATGAATACAAATATGAATGCAAAATATGGTACTCTGATTAACCGGACACTAGTCATTTTCACTATATTTTTGGCAAAATTGATGTTTTATTTTATATATTGAAATATGTATAAGTTATGATGAATTAATGAACAATTTACAAATAAGTGAATTTACTACAATTATTTTTATGTTTTGATTATGCCATCTGGTTTCAGTGTCTCTCAGTGATTTACTTGTTTCGTATCCGGCTTCTTCTAACTTGTGTTTTTGGTACTACTTTCACATTATTTCGTATTGTATCAATCAATGTTTTAGCTGAAAGGTGACTAAAATACACTCTTGTAATTCACGACAAATTCCACCAAATACCCACTGCTGCAGATGCAGAAGAACACGTTCGATATTTTGTTTTCTATGTGTAAACCAACTTTCGTATCACTCAACAACTCTGTCTGCACCACCTAATTTTACAATGATTAGAGATATTAAAGAATTGGCACGAACATAATGCATATAATCATTCCAATCAACAATTGTTCTGGGATTATTTCCTAACTCACTATGTAAGTTTCCAATTTCTAGGAAAAAACAAATTGCAATTTCATTGTTAATTGACAAATACCATATTCTAAAATCCATTTTAAATAAAAAAAAAATAAACAAAAATGACCACAAGTTACAATTATGGTGATCTTTGATTAAAACATTACAGTATCTAACTTTGAGGTACAGTACATCACCCCCAAGATGAAATATAATTTACGTAAACACATGCTTATGAATGTCACAATAGTGAGATACAGCACTATGCAAACAAGGTTGAAAATAAATAAAAAGGTGTAATTTTAACTTAATAAATAATCAAACACCTATGCTGAAAAATGTTTATTAAACAAACAGTAATGTTTTCGACCCAGTATGATAGGCCAACTGTAGATGCAACCAAAATTTTAACTTTGTAATTTTACTTTTGAATACTAATCTGATTTCTAATTTACAACTAAATAACATAAAATAACAAGTGATGTGTAAAATAAACAACTAGAAGTAGAAATTTCAGTTTTGCAATTATACAAATGTGAAAATATGCTAATTGTTTTCAATATCAAATGCGTATTACCAATCAGTGTTTAAATTCATGACTGATTTTCATAACTTTTATACAGACTTAAACAAAAGGGTAAGTTTACATTAAAATTAACTTCGTATATGATTTAACCTAAATTAGAATGAATATTAAGATATAAATGCAAATCGGATGTCATCAATTGACTGGCATCCCGTTAACCAAAGAGTACCCAAAATATGAATAACTATATTGTAAATAAGATGTATATTTTGTATGAAAATATAAATTCATTACTAATTTTTAAACAATTCAGTGGAATTAAAAAGTTAAACATTAATTTGTGTGTACTCTATGATAGATAAATTTTATTTTGAATAATATAACAAATTCTTCAATGTATGTCTAATTATTAATTGCTTAAAAAATACAAAATTATAAAAAAATTAAATGTTATATAATCAATAATGTAACTTGAAGCCTGTTACCAGTGTGCAATTAACCTCAAAAAATTAAATTTCATGAACGTTTTCGAACCTTCAATGGTTCTTCTTCAGGTGGTGACAAATTTCCATTTAGTACGAGGTCTGTTCAAAAAATACGCGGACTGTTTGAATTGCGCGGCTCCAGTTGGTTCCAGGGGAATCTGCTTGGTGTTGCTAGGTTTGTACAGATTGTCTGGTGATAAAGCCATTTCCCGATTAGAGATATCTTGATTTGTTGATTAGCTATGCAGTTTTTAGTGAAGTGCAATTTTTTTTGTTTGTCAGATTTCAGAATGAATGACCTGATGGAGCAACGACTTGCTGTGAAATTTTGTGTTAAACTTGGAAAATCTGCAACTGAAACATTTGCTATGCTCAATACGGCTTACGGTGATGTTGCTATGAAGTGTATGGCATGTTTCAAGTGGTCCCCAGACCCAAAAAAGCTCACCAAGTTCGATCCAATGTCAAGGTGATGCTGACAGTTTTCTTTGATGCTAAGGGTGTCGTTCACCACGAGTACCTCCCCAAGGCTCCACATTGAACCAGACTTACTACATTGAAGTTCTGAAACGTCTGAGGGATGCCATCCATCCACAAAAATTCAGAAATGTGGAAGAGTGGCGACTGGTTTCTCCATTATGACAATGCTTCAGCCCATTTACTCCTCAGAACTCATAGTTTTTGGCCAAACACTCGATCACTGTTCTTCCCAACCCCTCCTACACACCTGACCTTGCTCCTTGTGACTTTTTCTTTTTCCCGAAGAATATTTGAGATGATTCCCAAGATTAAGGCAAATGTGACGAAGGCATTGAAGGAATGTAACAAAAGAAACGTACCAGGACTGTTTCAACAAGTGGAAACACCGTTGGGATAAGTGTGTGTGTTTGGAAGGAGAGTACTTTGAAGGGGACCCAGACATGTAACTTCTTATGACATCAGTCCACGTAGTTTTTGAACAGACCTCGTATGGCATTGAATACGAATATTATTCGAAAGCCAAATACATGTTAGCCAATTTATAGTGCTTTGTCCACTAGTGGACAAAGCGCTATAAATTCTCGTCATTTGCTATGTATGTAGTGTGCATGCCTGGTAAAAATTCATTGGCTAACATGTATTCGAATTTCGAATAATATTCATATTTAATGGCAGTCTAATGGAAATTCATTGCCGCCTGAAGAAGAACCGTTGAATTTTCAAAAACGTTCGTGAAATTTTAATTTTTCATATTTTTTAGGTTAATTACACACCGGTAACAGGCTTCGAGGTATGTAATTGATTATATTCCAGTGTTGGATAAGGTGAAGTTATAAATGTTATATATCTGGTTATTTTACAATTATCTGTACAATTAATAATTTTACAATTATTTTACATTTACAAAACAGCAATAATAAGTAGAAAGTATAACTTGCTTTAAGGTGCTTAGCTAATATGACTATTTCCAATTACAATGCATTTATGTTTATTTTCAGTGCTTGTCTTGTTCTAAGGGAGTTTTGGGAATTTAGTTCTAGATCTGGTTTTAGATGCAAAAGTGAAAATACTTTTTCATTGTTTTTAGATCTTTATAAATAATTATATCGTATATAAATATTTATTTTAATTACTGCAAAAATGGTCTAAAATTTAATTCTAATTAAAATATTATTTTACAAGAATTTTTTTGAATACATTAAAATTTTTAATTTTATTTATGATTTCAGCAAACAGAAATTAATCATTACACACAAAAAACTAAGTTACTCAGATTAGCTATAAAGTCTGCTTCAGAAAAAGTTAACAAAGGTAAATTTTAATATGTAATTTATGAATTAATCTAAAATTTTCAATATATGTATATAATCTCATGTAATAGTTTTTAAAAACGAAATGTAGACAAGTATGATAAATAATTTATAAACAAATCATAAATTATTGGTTTATTATTACTGTAATTCAGATATGTTAGAATAATAAAAATGAATACTAAGTAAAATTTTGTGTAAATTTAGTTTTAACATTATATTATACAGGGGGTCCACTTAAACATCTATCAAAGCAAAGGAGATTTTTTCCAGCATTGGATGAGTGTATATGTATCTGGTGCATGCTTGTTCCACTGCAAAAATAACCAAAGAGAATCAATTTAAGAGGACTTAACATAATATACAAATAATCTCTGACTGTAAAGGATAAAGACAGCATAGCTGAAATTTTTACAAAAAGTAAGCTTTAATTTGTTTGAGAACATCTTCAAAACAACAGTTTTTAAATTGCTCTGCTCTCCACTGATTCTTTTCTGTCTAGGAATGAAGTTTCATAATGTGCTAGTACCAAACCTGCCAATGATAAGTCATCAAGCCAATCAGCCATCATTGTGTTTAGGATATTCAGTTATTGAACACAGTTCAAAGTTCTATCAATGAATATAGGACCTAGAAGCTGCTCATCCAAATTACAACCAGACATTTAAGATAAGATATATCAATACTTATTGTTATGTATATCATGTGTATTATGGAGCATGCTTTGCCTAATGGTGCACATTGTAATGGCTATACACTGAGAAGTGCCTTTTATTCCATAAAATGTGCTGAAGGAGTTGTAGGTTATCAAGTTGTAACTTTAACATCATATTACACCACTCAAATTGCTGTGTAGCATTCTCTCATGTTGTGCTGGTTGCAGATAGCAGCAGAATGGATGCATGTCATAGCAATGTAATATCTAGTTTGTGTCCACTGCAATCCACCACCTAACCTAACCTAATCAATGCTGGAAAGATATTTTGTCTCTGGCTAGATGTTTAAGTGGATACTCTGTATATGATATTTTTTATATTTTAAATAAACAATAATCAAATATTATATAATAATATAACTACTTTCAGATTTGTAGGTTTGGATCTAGTAGAGTTTCTTATAATTGCTATTTTATACATATACAGATTGTTATTATTTTGGGATGTAATAAAAAATTTATAAAGGAATATCATCATTAATGAATGTACAATTTTTGATTTGTTATAATTAATATTAATCTTATATTAAATGGATTATTCATTTTAATAATTATTAAACATGTGCTGATTGTATTGTTTTTTTTGGTGATAACACAAATTTATTCAATCTTATTATTCGTAGTAATAAAACTATATTAGTATTTAATATAGTGAATAAATTTTATTATATTAAAATTTTTAAAATACTAATACATTGTGTAATGCTTTAATTGAATATGATGATAAAAATAAAGTTTGGGTGTATGACATAATGAATCATAGAATGAAATGCATATCAGTCTATTTCAATGCTATATATTGAAAATAATTTGAATTAGGATATAAAACTTTAGACTTCAAAATAATAATTCATATTATTAATTTACAGTGTAGAGATTAAATTTTAGAAGTATTTTATTTTGTTTTTCATCATTGTCCTCTTTTTTATATATATTGATACTTAATTCTAATTATAAAACTATATTTATGTATTTTATTGGTATTGTTGAAAAATTTCGAATAATTTATATATATATCTAT